CTTTTGCCAGTCTGAGCAGATTGCCAGGCAACATATACATGAGACAGGCAGAATTGGTCAGCAATTTTATACGTGATAAGCCTCGTGCCTGTGTGTGTGTGCGATACCATGTTTACTATGTTGCCATGTGGAGAAGATTGTAATTTTAATCTTGTCGTTTGTCATTCTCAACACTTAAGACTTAGGAAGTAGGTCCCAACACGAAACAACTTCAGCTTGGTACGGACAGCTTCATGTTGGGAGCCAAAAACCGCAGTAGGGCCGTGGAGTTTGCAGTTCTGCTCAGCAGCGATTGATGAGGCTGAGGGTTTGCCGTGGTAGCGAGTAACAGTGAAGTGAGGATCATCGGCAGTAGTAAAGTACTTGTAGACTTAGTACTTCAGTAGATCAGTAGACTCAGTAGAAAGTCAGTGTGGTAAACAAGCTAAGGCAGCTAAGGGAACTCAATCCTAGAATCCCTAGAAGCCCTAGAATCCGCCAGACAGGACGGGATGTGGGGCGAGTACGACAGCCGCCAGAATCCCGTGGGATGCTCATGTCGGGTGGACCTGACACTGGTGCGGCTGGGCTACCCCCAGAAAACACTTCAGGAGGCGCACGAGCTTTTCAATGGTAAGGGGCCGGAGAGTGTGACCTTCCGAATCGAGGTGACCGCAGGGAGGGTCATTATCAAGGCCGCAATTGAAAAGGAGCTCATCCCGAAGCATCTCCCCTGCTCCTCTGTAGCGCTGGGCAAGGTTTACGAGGTCGAGACCTACTGGGAATTGGGGTTCCTCACGGAAAGTGAGATCGTCAAGCTTTGCGGCGTTTCTTCGAAATCCTTGAAGCTGCCCAAGTCAAGTACGATCACGGCCGAGGACGGGACCGGGCCGGTCAACGGCTGGTACGTGTCCTTGTTGGGCTTGGAAAGCAGCATCGCCCTCGGGATCAGAAAGGTCAAGATCAGTTCCAAGTTGAGGGTTGCCCAAGAGGACAAGCTCTTGGACCCCTCCTGGCAGATGAGGGCCCAGCAGGGGCAAGACGTGCTCAGCTTTGCTTTGAGCCGGCAGGTTGATCAGCGTCCGGGTGCCGAGAGGTGCAGTGGACGCTTGAGCCAGCAGAATCTCCAGAGCCTCATCGCCAAGGGCACTGACATCATCACTGCCACTTCGGCATTGAATTCGGTTGTGGGCTTATCGGCTTCTGCACGGCATCAACTAAATCCTTATGTCTTATGCCGCCTAACCGGCCGGGGCCTCACCTAACCTAAGAACCATTCTTCTTTATCAAAAGTTCTGCCTTTTGCCTCGATGGGTTGTGTGTGTGTGTGCTTCGGATGACCACTAAAGCACTAAATTCACTAAACATCTAGCGGTCTAGCGGATTCTAGTGATTCTAGTGGCTAGCGGCTTTCGAGGTGAGTCGGATAAGCCACTGAAGGATCCAAGAATCATCGTGAATATGTGGTTTGTTTTGTTTTGAGGAGATCTCCTCGAGGCTTCACATGCTTTTGGGTAGCACTTGGGTTGGCATTTTGTCGTCTTCAAATTTGAAGGTTTGCTCTGTTCGCACATGAGAAACCGTAACAATCTTGAGCAGACGGTTGAACCTCATGACTCGCACAGCTTGTTGCCAGGAACGACAGCAACGAGAGGTGTCGGAGCAAGCCGAGCTCGAGGAGGAGGAGGACAACATTGAGGATCTTGAAGCCGAGGACGACGATGAGGCTCCGCCAGGTGAACGAGATGATGCATCCACCATCGGTGGCAGAAGCAGAGGCAGCTTCGTGCCCATGGCGCCGTCTTTCAACTTGGGGATCTTGGCAGATGCGGCATTGCCAGCAAGAAGGTCCAGTGGAGCCAAGAAAAACAAGAAGAAGGCTGTGGCTGAGGAGGCTGTCTCCCTGAACGGCCGGGATGATGACGTCGACCAGCTCAGCGAAGGGGATGTGTGGCGGATCATCTCATGTGACGAGTTTGTCACCAGACTCGCCCGGGAGCTGGACGTTGCGCAGCCTTGCCTTGTGGGTCTCCTGCCCCAGCGAGTCTTCTTGGAGAAGCAGAAGGCTGGCAGGCAGCTGCGTGGTGCAACTCGCCAGAATGATTGTGAGGACGATGTTTGTCATGATTATGCTGGGCTTAAGGCTTATCGTCTTATCGACTGATTCGGATTGTGGCTTATGGCTCCACAGACCATATGAGTGTGAGGATGTTTGCAATTCTTTTCGTGAAATGGTTCTGGCACATATCGATTCTGGCTTATGGCAAAGGGCAGAGGGCACTAGTGGCACTAGTGGGCTAGGGCTATGCCTGTATAAGGCCTCTTGGAGGAAAAACCTTAGTGCCTTAGTGGTAATGCATCGTCGTTGAGCCTGCCAGTCATTTTCGAGTGATTGTAAGTTGTTCCGTTTGCCTTCATTGCCGCTGTGTCTCTCTCTCTCTCTCTCTCTCTCTCTCTCTCTCTCTCTCTCTCTCTCTCTCTCTCTCTCTCTCTCTCTCTCTCTCTCTCTCTCTCTCCCTCTCTCTCTCTCTCTCTCTCTCTCTCTCTCTCTCTCTCGCTCTCCCTCTCGCTCTCCCTCTCCCTCTCCCTCTCCCTTTCCCTCCTCTCTCTCTCTCTCGCTCTCGCTATGCACTTCAACACACACACACACAACACACCTCCCCACACATGGCATTGTGCAAGAGCCTGCCATTTACCCGGTCTATATCTATCTCGAAGGTAGAACCTGGCTTCAAATTTCACCCAGCTACGTGACTTTCCAACCACCTAGAAAAGCGAACCTGGTAATGACATATGAGAAGGATGAACAAGGGAATGCACCTCTTCAGCAGCTTCATTGACAGTGCGGGTGTGTCTATTTGTAAACACTGTGGTACTTAGACTTAGACTGCACAAGACACACACATGCAGTCATGGCGTGGTATGTGTGTGTGTGTGTGTGTGCAAGGCTCGCACGATTCTCCAGAAGCTTCAGGAGAGGCGATCCGGCATTTGTGGTGACTTGGAGAAGCGGATCGGCTTGGTGGAGATCTGCCAGATCCTTGAGTTCAAGAAGATCAAGACGTTGCCCAGGGCCGAGCTGGAGAGCCACTGTGCGACCCTCGAGCAGTTTGAAGGTGAGATCCAGATCCCGCTCCGGATCCAGTTGGACATCTTGGAGTGCCAGATGGCCTGGGATTTTGCCGACTATTTCAATGCCGAGTCCCTCAGCCCAGCAGCTGCACGGGAGATGACGGACCGCATCGTGGAGCGGTTTTGTGCTTGGGGTCTGGATGGTGAGAATGAGGAGCTGCGTGAGACTCGGCTCACCGCGAAGGCCATCCTGGCGGCGGAGCACAAGCACCTGCAGGAGAAGGTCTCCCGCAAGGAGGTCGTTGGAGCTCCGATTGCTGAGGAGAAGGCTGTCTTCTACAAGGCTCAATTCGTGTCCATGTTTCAGGTGGCAGGTTTCTGTGGATGGCATAGGACATAGGACGTCGGCGACACATCAAACATATAATGATAGAATGGCAATACAATCAATACAAGTACAATCACACATAAACTTACATCAATACAACGACCAGTGACTAGTGACTAGTGACTAGTGAGATTAGTGGCCAGTGAATAGACCAAACTACGAACTATGAAGCAGCATTGAGCATTGATTGCTGTCTGGTCCTGATCGTCGTCGTTATCTGTCGTTATTGGTTGTCATGCTGGTGCCAGTACACTGCAGCTTGATGTTCTTCTATGCTTCCAGCTCCAGGCGATTGGTGAGTGCCTGGTGGATGGGATGGTCTCTTCGACCCTCATTGATGGTCTGAAGAATCCCGAGCAGGTCAAGCTCCGGATCAGAATCCTCATGGAGTCCTTTGCCGACCGGCTCAACGCTTTCAACGCAACGAGGATGGAAGAAGACCTCTTCAAGTGCACCCCGAGCTCGGAGCCCTTGCAAAAGGACCTCTTGCGCATCCGGGCTGCCTGCTTGGGGCTGTTGGCTCTGCTGAGTGTGCAGCCGGGGTACAAAGAGTCGACTGCTGCCTTTGTCAACGATCTCAAGAAGTTCAAAGGCTCCACCGGGCTGGAAAGCACGTATCGCGATGTGTTGGCCGGGGATGTCTGGAGCAGCATGTATGATGATCTCATCAGCAAGGGAGCTTCAAGTTTGACCCGTGCCCCAGAGCTCGAGCTCTTGGAGACGGCCTGGAACACAACCGGAGACCCCACGGAGGCTAGGGGCTAGGGCTAGGGCCAGGGAGATCGCTTGGCCATGAAGGTTACGGTTACGGTCATGCCGGTTATGCGGTTATGCTACAACATAGTGACATAGCACGTAACTACAGTCTATAGCACTATAGCTGCTAGGTGCTAACAACGAGTATCCAGTGATATTGCCACTGAATGCTAGTGACTGCTAGTGCTGGTTTTGACTATTGAATTGTGATTAGAGTCTTGGTTAGAACAAGGTTTTGCCGCTTTAGTGCCATCGACCACTCACCACGGGGCACGTGTCAGGAGTCAGAAACTTCAGGTTAGATACTGGTATTTTTCATTTGGAATATCAGTCCTCACAGACGGGTCAAGTCAGTTACTGTTTAGTTTAATCTGGTCAGTCTAGCCGAGTCTAGCCTGTCTGGTCTGGTCTGCAAATCGTTGCCATGTACTCATGAGACTCTATTAACTCCATTAAAGAGTATTAACTGTATTATGATGTCCACGGCAGTTCTTAGTGTTTCCCTTTCCCCAAGAACATGTAGCACTGTGGGCTGTCTGCTGTCCGCCATGTGCGATCTGATATCTGCTATTCCTATCCTTATCGGTCGTATCCGATATGATACGATTTTCCCACCCTCGCCTTGAGGCTTATCGGATTATCGATATTGATGAGGATTTGATGGTGATAAGAACTGAAACGAATGAAACAGAAGACTTGTTTCTTCAAGCATGAACCAGCCATATCCCATGTTACACCGTCGAACAAATACTTGTTGGAGGTTTTGAAAAATTTTTGGGCTTGTGCAATTCCATGACAGGAAGCCATGTCCAAGCTCATTCAGCTCCTGCCGGTGCTTCGGAAGGAAATGAGAACGGGGTCGACGGAGTCCTTCGAGAAGCTTTACCTGAAGAAGGTGATCCTCCTGGCCAAGGGCATCTTGAACAACGAGCGGCCCGATGTGACCCTGGGTTTTATCCGGCTCGTTGAGTCTTGCTTGGCCCTGTCGAAGGATACTTCCGGAGTGCTGCAGCTGATGCAGAAGCTTGACAGCTATTGCAAGTCATCCGCAAGCACCCTCGCAGCCCGTGAGGTGATCATCATCCTGAAGACTTTCCCTCCAGACCGACAAGGTGACCTTCCGTCGGAGCTGCAGAACACCTTGCAGAACTTGATTGACACCACGGCTCAGGCCAAGGATTTCGACATCGACAAGGCGGCCCTGCTCCTGTTCGACAACGCGATGTTCTGGAGCTTCCGCTACATCCACTCCTTGATTCAGGCGAACGTTTACTAACATCAGAGTGATTCATTTGACATGTCTTGAGATGCTTCATTTCTGGGATTGACTGGTATTGGTTACTGGAATTGTAGCTGACACTAGGTCTTGGCCAGCGTGAATTAGGTCCACGTTGGTTTGGCCCGAACATTGAGTGTCAAGGATCCTGTCTGTTTGAGTCCATGTGTCATGTTTTGTCTGTTTCAGGCAGCCCGGATCTCCATGCCAGAGCGGCTGCTCGAGAACATCTCAAAGTTGTTGGCCATCCTGGAGAAGCGTGTCGGCTCTCAGGAGCTTCGTCGGGTCTGGACAGAGCAGTTCGTGCAGTGGATGCAGGAGTCCATCGAGCTTGCAGGGATTCTGGCAGAGTACTCGAAGGTTCTTGAGGAGTTCGAGAGCAAGGGTCGTGATCCCCAGCAGCGAGAGGCCGCGGACACAGATGGCAAGGTTCTGAATCAGTTGCTCAGGACCGGCAACTCGGCAGTGGCAGCTGTGAACAAGGCAGCCGCCTTCAAGCAGCACGTGGCAGCAGAGGAGTATGGCAACAACGTGTCGCCGTTGCACATCATGTACTATGATTGGTCAGGAGCAGGGCGACAGCAGGTGGAGAACCCGGTGTTCCTGGATACACTTCTCTACCGGTGCTCCTGCTACATCCGCATGCTTGAGCAAGCCCAGGCGAAGCTGAACAAGGCAACGAACGGCCTGCACCTGGTTGATGGTTGGAAGAGCGGTGTGGATGCATCCAGCAGCTACGACGAGTGCATGAAAATCGCGCAGCCCGAGCTGACCAGCACGGATGGGGTGGCTGTGGAAAGTGCACTGAACGGCCTCGCAGAGGCCATGGTTGAATGATACTGTCTTGGGCTCATGATTTCATTCAGTAACAGAGAGTCTGTGACTTCAAGGATTGAAGTAGCCGCCGAGCTGATCAGATTGCCTGCCTGTTTATCGGGCAAACTTCTTTGTAGAAGTCAGTGGAATAAACCAGTAAGTAAGTTTAAACATGACCATCGCTTGAGTTTCTCCCATTGAAAACCCCGCAGAAGAGTTACTCTACAACTGTTGCCCTGAGCATGTGTATGGTATTACTACAGTATAGAGTCTATATGAGCTTATGTGGAGTTTAAGGTCCAGGCCCTGGAGTGTTGCATGGCAGGTGATCAAGGCTGCCAAGGGCTTCCGGAACAGGATCAAGGACTGTGACTGCAAAACGCACGACCTGTTCGTGAACCAGTTGCCGATGTCTTTCAAGAGCCTCGAGAGTGGCAAAGCCTTCAAAACTGAAGTGCTCCTCGTCCTCGCCATCCAGCAGGTGCAGCTTCAGGATCCGTCGACCCAGAAATGGGCGAGGGATGTGATTCGTGCGCAGTTAGGGGATGTCGCAGGCAATGTCGTGAGTGAAGAGAGCATTCTTCCACAGATTTTGGAGAAGGCAAGGCAAATCATCGGCTGAATCCAGTGATCCAGTGAGCTTTGGGTTTTGATCCGGAAGGTTTAGGCTTAGAGTCGGTTTAGGCTGCACCACTACCGAGTTATGTACTTCCCATGCAGTGCAGGGTTTCGTTGATTTCCATGAGCAAAGCTGGATTCACGCGTGCCGATTCATTGATGTGGCTGATGCTGGCCGGTTTTCGGACTGAAACCTGAAGCTTATGTTGAACCTGTTGACATCCTCGTGAAATGTGTGAGCTTTGGGCCATGCTGTCAGCTGACTGACAGAGTCATGCCTTCACGTGTCATGCAGTGTCATCATGGCATTCTGGGCACGGCGTTTTTTAAACTTCCGTTGTTTTCGCCTCATGTCGGGCCAGAGCCGAGAGCCTAGGGCACCATTGACTCGCAATTGCTTAGGCTGGGTAATTCTGCTACTGCTAATGCAGTGATGCTGATGCTGGCTCGAAAGTGGCTAGCGGCTAGTGCGGTTAGTGACTCGGTTAGCCGGTTAGTGAGTGTGATCTAGCCATCGCGCTGCGAGATCAGTTATTGTATCTACCTGCTCTAGACTCTAGACTCTAGCTGGACTCGGGGCCGTGGGCGCTACGTCAGTGCATCATGTTAGTTACTATGTGGCCCGGCATGCTCATTCGGCCTTAGCCGTTCGTGCAAACCACTTCGAGGCCTGTTCTTCAGTGCAGAATGCAAGCTGTTAGAGCTGCGGGGGTGTTTTCCTAATGTCCTCGTGTCTTTGAGCAGGTCAGTCGCATGTCTTAAGATTTGGAAACCTGGACCTAGCCAGCAGTACGTAGATAACATGGTTGTTGCTCTTGTGTTGCCCTGCGAGTGCTCCAGCAGCATTCTCAGACGGATGACCGGTGGCGATTGGCCATCAAAAAAGCCGCAAGGTTTTACTGCATTTTGTGCTGTGACCATTGTGTGCTCTGTGGGTGCTCCAATGTTGCAAAACTATATAGTATATACTGTATAGGTACATACTGAAACGATACTCGCGAAACATTGGACCGAGTCAAAAGACAGAATGCCCAAGCCCGAGGAACACTGTGTGCCTGAAGATACAGTTTCATGTTGGAATCTCTGGTTCCACATCCAAAAGCTTTCAATGCCATGATCAGTGAGCACGGGTGCCCCCACTTTTGATGCCTGCAGATTTGAGGTGCCATTGGTTTACAATTATAGTATATTGTTATTGGTATTATAGGCCATAGGCACAGCGTGTGCATAGGATTGTGGTGAGCGAGTGAACGAGTGTAATCGAATATGTCATATTATATTTCCAACTGTAAACCACTATTGACTCACCGACTCGTCATTTACGGTCTCCTTGCACTTGTCTTTCCTCTGAATGTAATATAGTATTAATATAGTATATATAGTAGGTCTGGGAGGCATGTCACACGTCCGTTTGTCGCTCAACTTTTCAATTGGTTCCATTTTTCCATACCACGAGTAGGCAAATGAAAGAATGAGCGAGCGGATGAGTGAGTGCGGGTTTTTGAACGATTGGGTGAGTGATTGTGGTGGTGTGGGAAAAATGACAGCAGGGAAGGGCGCAGGATCGTAAGGGTCCTCAGACAGGTCTCCCTTCACCCTCGTCTGGACACTCACGCACTTCCCCACTCGTTCATTCATCGCACAGTCACCTATTCGACCTATTCAATGACTCACCCACCCGCTCACTCACCCACCCACTCGCTCATTCATTCTCTCATTGTTCATTCACTCAATCACTCCCTCGCTCGCTCGCTCATGGACTCACTCACTCACTCAATTCATTCCACTCACACCACCCACTCCACTCATTCGCTCATTCATTTGTAGTTGCGTATGTGATGCAATTGTAGCAAATGTATCATCGTGCCTTGACGTCGTACAGCTGGTTATGGAATCAGATGAGAATCGGTGAATGATGTCAATGACGAATCGGCGAATCAATGGTAATATTGCAGTCCAATCGGTGTATCTTTTCTGTAGGCCCCCGGTCTATGTCTATGAGGGTGCTTCCTATGACGTAATGATCAGCCGCAGTCGCACACGTAGGATATAGGAGTAGTCAGTAATCATTACGAATGAAACACGTGCCCCACACATACCGCACACTCGCTCACAAACACATGCACGACATGTGGATAGTACGACATGGCATGTGATTCGATCGTGTAAAAATTCTGATTGTATCATTCCGTCACATCGTAATATGACTTGCAACATGATTCCAATGGTTTTGATATGATTCTAATATGATTTGCATTCGATGGTGAGTTCGCATGAACTGTAATAAGAATACAAAAATATATGGAAATCATGAAAAATATATAAACACATACAAGAGAATATGGAAATAATATCAAAAATATACGGCAAGTATGAAAATATGTAAAAATATACAATATATATATATAATATAATATAATATAATATAATATAATATAATATAATATAATATAATATAATATAATATAATATAATATAATATAATATAATATAATATAATATAATATAATGTAATATATAATACATAATATAATATATAGAAAATATGAAAATACATAAAAAATATATAAAAAATATGAAATAAATATGACCGAAAATATATAAAAAAATATGAAATAAATATGACCGAAAATATGATTTTGTCGTGTCGGGACCAAGAACCCAGATCCAAAGGCAAATCCATATTGGTTTCATATTGGTTTCATATTGTTTTCATATTCCTTTATTTAAACTTATTAGGAAGCGAATATGAAAACAATACGAACCTGCCCGAAACCATATTTCCGGCATATTTTTTTCATATCTCCAAACCATATTATTTTCATATTGTTTCCATAAAAAAAATAATTCAAGGAATCCAGGGTTTGCAAGCCTTCCAAAGTCTCAAGGCTATTTCCACTCCGCATGGTTTGTGTGCGGCACCTGAAGAGCTTCTTAAGCGGGTCATCACTAAGTGGTCAAACAATTTGTGCAAGCACTCCGATGCCGATTCGCCTTCTTGGGAAGCTTTTGCCAATCGTTACTCGGCTCATTTCTCGTATCATGCAGTTGAGCTTCCACCGTTGTCTCCGCACCGCCTTCGGCGTTTGGCTTGTGGTGGTCGTGCCAACGATAAAAAAGCCTCGACGCCTGGACTAAAGAGGCCCTGCGTGCGTGGCCCCCTCAGGCTTGGACGCACCTGTGTCAACTCTTGGCAGTTGTCGAGTCTACTGGAGAATGGCCGCAGCGGATCCTTCATTTACTTGTTACTTTGATTCCAAAACCCCAGAGCAAAACTCCCGATGAGATGAGACCTGTCGCCATTGCCTCCATTATTTACCGCGCTTGGGCTTTTCGTAAAAATCAATAGAGGTTTCTTAAAAATCAATAGAGAATCTGATCGGGATTCAGCACCAAAATATACAAAACCAATAGAGAGACGAGTGGGCCGAACAGGCAAAAACCAAGAATCGTATCATGTCGATCTGACAGACAGACACGATTTGCTGTGTAGATTCTAGATAACCAGCCAAATCGAGCAAAGCGCAGATAACAAGGTTATAGCTTTAATAGGTTTTCATGTTTGGATAGACAGTTTGGGGTTGTCTGAACAGACACAAATAATTATAGTCTTCATAAGGTTTCATGTCTGGACAGACAGTTTTGCTTTCGGGTTGAGGGTTTAGGCTTTAGGGAGTAGGGTTTGGGGTAGTGATTCCACGAAATGACTTGATCCAAGCTGTGCGTTGTCGGCTGGGGCGGGGTGGGGTGGCCTGAGGCGGGGCAGGGCCCTTTCCGTCCGGACCCTAACAGAACGGATGTGACTGTCCATGCTTTGTTATTTCATGCTCTTCTCTTCTGTCGCGCTTCTCTTCTTTGCGTTCATTCTCCTTTTTCCTTTGACGTCCTTTTGTAACTTTTTTCTTTTCGGCACAGAAAATCACATGATATCATATGACGTTTTGTCGGTTTCCACAGAAAGTCACATGACGACATTTGGCGTGGCACAGGTTGTCATGTGACGGGCCTGTCGTGTCACAGGTTGTCATGTGACGGGCCTGTTGTGTCACATGACAGCCTGTGACATGTCACAGGTTGTCATGTGACGTGCGTTCTGTGTCACGTGACAACTTGTGGCGGTTTTTGTGTCACAGGTTGTCATGTGATGCTTTTTTCGTGTCACAGGTTGTCACGTGACGTTTTTGTTGTGTCACAGGTTGTCACGTGACGTTTGCGGCTTCGTCATGTGATGTCATGTGTCGTTCTTCTGGTCCTCACAGAACATCACGTGACGTCCTTCTGGTCTTCACAGAACATCACGTGACGTGCTTCTGGTCTTCACAGAGCAACACATGATGTCACGTGTTGTTCTTCTGGTCTTCACAGAACAACACGTGACGTCGTGCGTCGTCCTTCGCTTGTAATGGGGTGGGGTGGTGTCGGCTAGGCTGGGTTTAGGGCTTAGAGCCAGTTTAGGGTTCACAGTTGAAGGTTTCGGGTGGCAACGTGTCCAGACAATACCAGAAGCGTTTGTCCAAACAGTTTGTCTGTCCAGACATGCCACCCTATGCTTAAACCGATTTGCATGTTCAGGCGTAGAAACCGACATAGCAACCCATAAACATTATATGTGCATACATCAGAAAAGTCTGTCCAGATTGCCTGTCGAGGCGCACACCTGTTTATCCAGACACAGCTACCCCTAAAAAAGATATATGGATTAAAAAATTTCTGCCCAAACATCCTGTCCGGAGCACATCTTTTGATCGATCCAGACATAACCACAAGATCAATAGGAAAATCAAGCAAGGGAAAAATCGACAGGATCACCGAGGCAAAGAGTTCAGTAGGAACCAATAGGGAAGACAAACGAAGCAAAAAAGTCAATAGCAGAATCAATCGGCGGAAAACCGTTTTTTATAAATCAATAGAGGAAAATATTTTTCAATAGAGAATTCAACCCTCCATTTTTGAGATTCATAAAAATCAATAGAGAACTCATTGAAACGATGTGTGTTCGGCATG